TATCTATTTTATATTGACGTGGTAAAGACATGTCAATTAAAAAATAATAATGTTATAAAAAATTTAATAATAAAAATTAAAAAAATTAAAATAAATTGTGAGTGATATTACTTATTTAAAATAAGTGATATGAAACTAAAAAAATAAGGTCAAATTAAAAGAAAAAAAAGTATTTTAATCTATGCTGGATTTATGTTATTATTATAATTTTTATATTGAAAATAAAAGTAATGAGTGATATTATTTATTCTTTTATGTATTATTCTCCCCTTTGTCATTCTTATTCGTACAAAATCTAAAGCAATAATATGCACCGACAAATTAACTATAGATCGTGTTTCTACTGTTGAGTCTCTAATTACTTTATTTAGTTAAACATTTTATATATATATATATATATATATATATATATATACACGTATATTAAAAAATGTGTAGCACTATGAGATTTTGATTGATTATTATATTTTAATAATATTTGTGTGTTGAATTGTTCTGAAATGAGCTATTGAAAATTCTGTGAGTTAAAGAATTCTTGAGAAATCTTTGGATGTTTTAGAGAGTTTTAGAAGTTTAGTTTGACCGTGATGATAGGAGCATATAAGATTTCTTATAAGATTGAATCTCAAATTTATTTTTTAGAGAACCTAGAGAGATAAACCAGATAGAGGATCTTTGAAGCTCTAATCTTACATCTTCTCCTTTCTAGGCTTCTCACTGGAGTAAGAAATCCCTAAGGATTAAAGAGTTGTGATTCAAAGCTACTTGGAGCTGAGAATCAAGTATAGTGGTGGGAAGTTTCTTAGTACTCAAAGTTCATTCCTCTTTCTCTTCTCCTTTCTCGTTGGTTCGTAGTCGAGGTAAAGGAAGTTATAAATGATTTATTGTTGGCTTGTTGTGTTGCATGTTATTTTATCGTTATCAAAATGTGTCTATGTTGACAAATTTTGGGATGGTATGAAGAAATTGTTGAACTTTTGGTGTCTTGAACTTGTTGAGGTAAATTTGATGTTGTCGGCCAATTTGTGTTTGCATGATGAATTTGAGTTTGGATTCATATTGTTGATGATTTATATGTATCAAATATTGTAAAGGATGTTGGTGTTGTTTGATTTTTAGGTGAAAGGAGAACAATTCGTTAATCTACAAGTGTAGAACTCATCGTCACGCCAAATGCACCTTAAAGGCGCCAAACGTGGTTCAATCATGACCACTTTGTCTTGCTCACACAGGACGTAAGATTGGTGACACTAAGCATGAGGAGAGATAATTGTCTTAGTTGAATTGGTGTCAGACGTGATTTGAATGACACCATATGTAATGTGAGAGAATTGATTATGCCTAGATTACCGTTGAGTGTCAAAGGAGTGACATTGAACGTGACAAGAGAGAATTATCTTGGATTGATGTGAGGCCGGATGTGAAATTTCACCATGTCAAGCATGAGGCCCCAAGGGTTCCTAACCTCAGTCACACCATGGATTGAGTAACGCTAGACATGGGCGAGTCAAAGAGCCCTACCTTAATGGCATCGAGCACAAGTTTCCTTGAAAATACTTGTTATTTTTGTAACTAAAATGGTGAACATAAATAGATTAGGTGTGTTGCTATTGCATGTTGCACGTGGATTGGTAATGTTGTTCTATGTTTATTAATCTAGGATGATGTATGTAGATGTTTGTATGAATGATTGGTTGAGATGTATTGGTATACTATGAATTTATGAATGTTAGATTTATATCCATTGACTTGAAATAATGAATATAGATGAATGTTGCTGAGGTGAATGCTAAAAGTGCTTAAAGCTTTTAGGCATGGTGAGTTGAACTGTTGAGATGTTGATGGTTAGAATGTTATATGCACTACAATATGTTGATTATCTTAGGATTAGAGGAGGATTTGTTTTTGAAACTCAAATATCTCATTGTGTGATATTGGTGTGGTGTTCTAGGAGACATGTCGTTGAAACCCTTATTAAGTAAGTGATAACTCTTGAAGTGAATTGTCGAGTTTCTTCAAAGTCCTTAGTTAATGTTGAAGTAAGGTATGAGGTCGAGGTCTATTACCCTTAACCGATTACTAGAGATGTGCGTGGTATCACAAAGATAGTTAGTGAGTTAATCTCACAAGTAACTTGATTAGTGCATTCTAGGGTTGTAATATACTCATACCCAACTTATATTATACTTGACAATGATACTATATTTTCTTAGTTTAAGTGACGATGTCTTGAAAATCAGAGAGTAGGGATTGATATCCCAATTCAGTTGCCGATCTAGCAAGTGTGTAAGGCATGAAAATGATCAAATTGATTCGATAAGGTCAAACCACTTAAAATGCTAAAGTGTTGTATGAGATAATGTTTGATAACACATTAGTTGAGGTGTATGCATGTGATGTGTTGTGATTGATGTTGTTCATATGTGTTGGTGTCTATGTGGTGATATACATGATTGTGATGTAACTTTGATTGCTTTAGTTGTTGCTTTTTAAACTTGTTGATGCCATGTCAATAGTTGTATGATGTAAGTTATGAGGTGCATGTTGAGTGGTTCACATGTTATTGTTGGTAGTATAATTGTATTTTATATATACTTGTTATATTTTTATCTTTTTGAAATATAATTTACCTTTGCATGTCTTTTGGGTGGCTAGATTAAAATATTCATGATTTTTCATGGGAGCAGAGTAGAGTTAGTTGGAGACAAATCGAGGTGTTGTGAGGCCATGTTAGTAGATGATTTGTGGGAGTTTCTTTTGGTGGAATACTCTTATACAATAAATTATATAGGTGTTGCTTGACCATCAACTTATGATTACTCATAAATTTTTGGATCACTATATATATTTATATGTATAGTTTTATATGCACATATCTTTATTGAGAGTTCAAGGACTATTTTGTGTTAGTCTTTGTAATGACTGCTACTAGTGGTATTCTGTAAGTATAGTGACCATGACAATGAGAGATTGTTAAAAATGTTAAGATACATACAAAAGAGCTATATTTTTTGAAAATTTTATTATTTAGGTACAAAAAATTATCACCATAATCTTTAATCAACTTTGATTGTATAAAAAAAGCATCCTAAAAAATAATTAAAAGCTTAAAATAAACTTATGTGAACACATAAACACAAATTGTGACAAAATTAAAATAAGAAAAATTTTACATTAATTTAAAGATATTGATTCTCGATACGATAAAAATTAATCACCGTTAAGAATGAAAATATGTCAGATGATGTCTAATTAAATTTTAAATTATAATTTGAACATATTTTATAAAATTAAAGTTAAGTTTAACTAATTATATATCATAGATATCTTTTTTGTAAATCTGACATGACATTTAAAAAAATTGATTTTGTTTATTAGTATATTAAAAACTTGTTTTACATTACCAAAATAATATATTTGATTTTAAATAAGTCAATAAATTCATTTTTAAACATGCATGTAAGTTTTTTTTAAATTAAGTAATAAAATTAATTTACTCAATTATTATTAAAATTTAAAATTTAAAATACAAATACAAAAATTAACATAAAATAAACAATACATACATATTCATGTACATTCATGTACAAACTCTGATGAAATAAGATAATATAAAAAATATTTCTTCTATCTCATTTATAATATTTACATAACAATGATAACAAAGAAAATGAGAAAATGAGGTGAAGATAGTAAGAATTTTTATTTTGTAATTAAAATGCCAAGGATATATATAATTTAATTTTTAATTATATTATTAATAATATAATAATATCTTAATTTTTATTGTATTATATAATTAATTAAATTGACTTAGACTTAACAAATTTTTTTTATAATCTTAAGTTTAATTTTTTAAAAGCTTAAATTTTTAACTCAAGGTAAAGTTTAAATAAATTAGATTATAAACTTTATTTAACGAATAACTTATTCTCATATACAAAGATCACTGACTCATTACTATTAGGACTATATATTTTTTACTAACAGCATGATTATAAAAAAAATTAAATTATAAAACTGAAATCTGACAAAGACGATCTAATAAAAAGAATTAATAGATATGGGTTAGAAAGACTATCTTAGGAAAAAAGGAAAAGATATGGATGACACCTTAGATTATAGACTACAGTATATAGCTAGCTCAGTGCTATACTCAACAACATGCTTAATTTTATTCTCAAAAACAAATAACATCCAAATTACATCACTGCCACGCACGCGCCCTTGTGCGTGGGATTGCGACGCAAGTAAGTAAGTGGTGTAGGCATTCATTCTGGGGTGAGGAATTTCCTCACGCGCGGAAAGTGATCCTCACGCGCTGAGCCCACAAGCAATGAGTGGCGTCATGTGAGTTTTATAAAGGGTCCATAAAATTACAAAAACAAGAGAACAAAAGTCTTTATGCTATGCTCTTCTTCTCTTCCCTCTCTTTCTACTACTTATTATCAGACTCTGATTATTGGAGAGAGAGAGAGAAAGGAAGGTTAGAGAAGAAGCAAAACCATTTCAAGTTTTTCCACTTTCCATAAATAAAAAAAAGATTTTAGTTTTGAGAAAGAAAATAATAACAAGCTTAGAGCAAGAGACTCACAGAAGGTATAAGGATTGTGAAGAAAGGAAGAAGATGTTGATGTTGATGATGATGATGAGATGAAGAGAGAGAAAGATTGAGAAAGAGAGAGTGTGTGTCACAGTAAGTAAGAAGTCGTTATTGCATTTTCTCATTCACTGCTCCCTCTGCACTCCTCAGAAACTCTTTCTCTCTCACAAAACCAAAACTTTTTCTTCCTGTGAAAAAAGCCAAAGTGACAGTAGTAGTAGCCACAATAACAGCAGCAGCAGAAGAAGCAGAAACAGAAGAAGTTGTTCGTTTTCTTCTCTTCCTTTTCATAGAGAGAGAAAAATCTAAGTCCACTCCACTCCCTCTCATCCTCAACACAACAACAAGATCTCATATCTCATCTCATCTCATCAACACACTCCATCAAACACAAACACTCTTTTCTCCACCTACAAATTCTTTCCCTGCCACAAGACCCCACACCAACACACATATAACACCCGCATTAGGTACACCTCCATAGTCCATACACAACAACCATAAATATATACATATAAACACACCCAAAAAAAAAATCACATAGATCTTCTATCTATGTCTCTATAGTTCTATATTTCCTTAGTTTTGTCCATCCATCTACTATACACCTATCTCTATTAATAGTAGTTATATCAATCAATTAATTTATTACTATATTTTCATATTGTGTGATTTGAGAAATCAAGCACTTTCAGTTGTGGCTACTACAAGGAGGTTGCCTTCAGATTCTGGTGCCTTCGCAGACTGGGCAGCCACAGCCTCCTCCTCCGGTCGGGCTGACGACCTCTCCCTCGGCTTCAATGCCGGTCCTGCCGCCGCCGCAGCTGCCACCGGACCCGCCACCGGAATGTGGTCCGGCGCAACTAGGTCAATCAATTACCCTGAGATGGGCATGTTCGTGGTGGCGCCAGCTTCGTCCTTCCACCACCACCACCAACAGATACCGCCCCCGCACGACCCCGTGGTGGCGGATTCCCTCAACCCCGCCACTGCACTTGGGGTCGGCGTCAGCGTCATCCCCCTCCTCGCAGCCACGCCGTGTCTGGAATCCGACAACATCCTCGGCAATAGGACACGTGGCGGGGGAATTCAGTTTTGGCAAGAGCCACAACCGCCACAACCGCACCAAGGGCACTACATGAAGAAGCAGCACCAGGATCTTCTCAACCACAACAACAACAATAGTAGCCCTGGGAATTTGCTTCAGAACAGTGGAGGCGTAACCGGTTCCGGAACCAGCAGTGGCGGAACTACCACGTGCCAAGATTGTGGGAACCAGGCGAAGAAAGATTGCGTCAATAGAAGGTGCAGGACTTGTTGCAAAAGCCGAGGTTTTGATTGCCCTACTCATGTTAAGAGTACATGGGTCCCCGCCGCACGCCGGAGAGAGCGCCAGCTGATGACGGCGGCAACCGCTGCTGTTGCTGGTTCTAGTGGCTCCACCTCAGGCACCAAAAAACCTAGGCTCATTGCTTCACAAACAACAACTTCTCATACTTCCACTTCCAACACCACTCCTCCTAGAAGCTTTGACACTAGCTCTAGCCATCAAGGTTTGTGTTTTCTTTCTTAATAAACTTTAGGTTACTGGTTGACGGGTATCCTTCTTCGCCAAATACTAAATGTAGACACCTCTCTCCGGAAGAGAATTTTGTTTCTTGATAAGCTTGCATGGACAGACCTGAACATAAACTCATGCATTAGCTTATTGTGGTTTAGGAGTTGAAAGGGTGTGTAGGTTGGTTTGATTGTGTTGTGTTTGGTTGAATTGTGTGCAGATGCGGGTTTTAAGGAGTCTCTACCGGGGCAAGTACGTGCACCAGCGGTTTTCAAGTGTGTGAGAGTGACGGCGGTGGAGGATGGGCAAGATGAGTATGCGTATCAGGCTGTGGTGAAGATTGGTGGCCACGTGTTCAAAGGGTTTCTCTATGATCAAGGGGTGGAGAATAGGGATGTGTATCCTAATCTATCTGAGTTGCATTTGGGTGGTGGAAGTGGAAGCGGAGGAAGTGGTGGTAGAAATGGGGTTTCATCTTCTTCTCCGATGATGGATCCTTCTGATGTTTATGGTGGAGGGTTACTAGGTGGTTCTTCAGCCTATGGTAATCCAATGAATTGATCATTGAAACTGAAACTGTCTTTCCGAGTGCAAGATATTAGTAGATGGGCTTGGAGAGGCTGATGACGTACGTTGTAGTCTAAATTAAATCTTTAATTTTTCATCTAGGCTTTGTATCTTTATATTGCATATGTCACTCTTTCTTTTCTGCCATTTTTCAACCACATTTTAGTTCTATTCTTTCTCGCCCAATTTGGCCCTTGTCATTGCATGAGATCATCATTAAATGACATGGGAGCCTCACTATCTAACTGTTAAACAAATAGTTTCTTATGTACTAAATATTAACTCGAAATGGAAAGCAAAGGTGGATAAAACTATTTTTACTTGCTTCACTGTTTTAAAATTTAATTTTTGTTACCAGTATTGATTGCAAGGTTGCAACCATTATATCTACTTTTCTTTTGAGGCTAATGACTTTTGTTTTGCATTTCAGTCACCTTTATATTTTCAATATTTTTTATTTTAATTTGTCTAAGGTGAAATCTATAGTACTATTCCCACTATCAAATGCTACAGTGTAAAGTATATATGATAAAGATGAAGTTATATGTTAATATCTTATAATAGTTGTTATTGATGTTCATTCACTCCTTTGTGTACCAGATGTATTTTTCAGCATGATTTACTCGTTATCTTTTCATGCTTCCTTTTTTTTTTTTTTTTTTTTCTGAATTGACGTAATACACTATTTAAATTCCATGTTTTATATGCTAGTATTAAATTGTCTCCTTGTATCTCAGCTCAGTTGGTTTTAAATTTTTTTAAATCAATGAATGTTGATTTTACTTGAAGCTGCTGCTTTAGACTTGAGCATTAGAAGTTGTTGTAACGTCACCATCATTCTATGTCTGTCCTTTTCATCCTAGTTTATTGCTGCTGATCTGTGATGCGTAAGAAACCTGCAAAGTTTCTGCATTCATGAAGACTTGATGTACTCCTATTTCTTTTTGTTCTTGTTAGGAATATGGAGTTCAGGCAATATCAATTTCTCAGCCTTTAATCTTCTAACCACTAACACTCGTTTTTGCAGTGTTTCTAGTCAAAATTAAGGCTGTTTAATTCTTCAGATGCTCGATTTTGGTGTACCATGATGCCAAACTTCAACTACCAATAGGTGTAGCTTAATTTTTTCCTTATTGTTGATGTCAGTCATGTCACATTTATTTCATTTTGCATTATAGACCTTTGTTTTTCATTTAAAATACATATCGTTTCTTTTCTATTTAAAAGATTTTAATAGTATTATTTTTAATATCATAAATTAGCTAGTTGATATCCTAGAAGTTGCCTGGTATGTTATTTCTTCTTATCAGGATAATCAATGTCGGGGTTGCATACTCAGCTTTTATATACTTTATTGCTGTGGAAACTGCAGATATGTGTCACCTGTTTTTTGGCTAGATTCTTTGTTAATGTTTCCGACCATTGATAAACAATTGAATGATTGTCTCTATTCATTGCATATTTAGATTATCTTTTTTCCTGCACATGCTGCCCCCTTTTACTTGTCTCAGCATATTTTATACATAGGGCGATTATGTCATGTGGATTGCAATACAATTTTTTTATATATCCTTCTTGTCTTGTGTTTGTTATGTTATGCTATACTATATACACTACTCTAAAGTCCAAGAAACATAGTATTTCTTGTGGCATGTTATGATAGTTCATTAATAGACATTCTAATATGAAGAACACAGTCACATTTTTGTAAGATTTTTTTTTTGTGTTGTGAGATTATTGAATCATAATGCCGACCTGATCAACACTTCCTATCATGTCAATGAAAAAGTAATCATATACTTAACTTTTTAACTAATGTAGAATTGATTACCCTGTCTTTAGTTAACTCATTTAAGGGTTGTGTTTGAGTATTGAAAATATTGTTTGTGTGCCCTAGAGAAACTATTTGATTTCTTGACATCTTGTTTGGTGCCTGACTAATTGTTTTGCATTTCTGGGATTTGGGTGCATATGTAACCTAACCTCTGATCCTTTAGCTCTATAGTTTGTTTTCTTCTACGTTGTGAATGATTGGGTAACTAGCTTTCTTCTTTGCCTGGGGGTCCTCCCTTTATATTTTGGTATTTTTTCTTGAATCTGTCATTGGATACAACTTCACATGGTTGGTGTAATAATATTAGTACATTCAGGTACATGTCTGCGCTGGTGGGTGCACAACTCTTGAATTGCTTTCATTCAAGTACACACTTTGAATTTTATGCGTATACTTTAGTCATGTTCTGGGAAAAATTTAGTTATGCTCCCTTTTCTTTGTTGCTAGCTTCTGTGATCCATTGTCATGTCTTCATTTTGTCACGTTCTGAGACATCATGTTTTCTTCTAAGAAATCAACCACAACGTTATGCATTTTGTTGTTGTGAATATTCTTGTCTCTCTGTTACACACATGGGTGTGCATTTTTGATACTTGGTTTTTCATGTTTTGCCCTATTTGTGCCTTGCTGGAGATAATTCTCGACATGCTTTTTGTAGTGCCAAATATTGTTACTTTTTATGTTCTGTATTGAGATTTCTCAATGCTTATGCGCAGTGAATTATTTCTGCAACCATCATATGGCTCTGGCAGAGTTCAAAATTTTGCTTGTATATTTGTTCCAAAGGTTTTTTACATGTTAGGGGGTTTCTTGGAAAGTGATTGCGTGTTTATGTTGGAATTGGTGTTAAATGATTTCTGTTATTGGGTTCATATTCTTTTGTTAAATAGTGTTGTTGAATTTCTTGGATCTGAAAGAGTTTAGTTTTTTATTGTGCTCATACTTGGATGGTGAAGTGGTTAGTTAATTCGATTTGTTAGGCTTACAACATTTATTAATTGAGATTCAATTCAATTAATTCATCGTTGTGTTATTTCTGTGCCGTGCACGTTTAGGTTACTTGTTTCTCTTTAATTTTGCCAGGGAATACTTACTTTGAATTGAACATTATCAATTATTAGCGATTTCGTTTAATATTTTCAGAGTCGACCGTTATTGACCACAATTTTGATCCTAATTGTTTTGAATAATGCTTTTTAATATTATAATAATTTTTTGAGTAATTTTCGGTCCTGTGTTTTCCCATGTTACACATTATTTCATATTTAATTTAATTTTCTAATAAACTATCCTAATCCTTATTTTAGTATTATAGAAGTCTTCAGCATTAGTTTTATAATTTTAATTAATCTTTCTAATAAGACCACTTCAGTATTTAACTTTTTTATAGTAAGATATTTATCATTAATAAGATTATTTTAATTTTGAAAATTAATTTTCATTAAATTTATTAAGGGCAATGCGAATCCCGAGGTATTTTTGGTTACGTTCATTCATTAAATAGTTAGTTCTGTACTTTTGGGTATATGTATGTGTTGAACTAGTATTAATTTATTCATTCAAAATCGAGTATTTGGTGCGAAATTTGTATAATTTTTATGGTGGACGTCGTATATTTCATTAGAGTCATGCTCAGATACAGAAAAACAAGTATAATCTAAAAAAGCTTGAAATTAGTCCCCCCCGTTTTTATATTCCTCTCCTCTATAAGAAAAGGAATTAAGTAAGTAAAATATTTTTTTAAATAAGGTAACATTAGTTTATGTATTTCAATTTTTGAATAAACTAGATAAGAGATTATCTTTTTAATAAAGTGCTTAATTATTTGGAGGGCACTAGAAGTTTATTTTATTTTCTTCTCTGTCTAGTATAGCAATATTTTAGTTTTTGCTATAATGTGGGCATAGTTCTGTCATTAATGGTCTTTAGTGTGCAAGTTATTTATTTTAGGGAGCTGTATATGCTCATCATATCAGCTGTATCCTGTCTTATGGGTTGCTGTCCAGCTGCTAATTTTGTGCAGTAGATAGGGGTTAGTGTAGCATAATTTTTTTTAACATAATAGTGGTACGAAATATGTATCATTTTTATTAATAATTAATATTTATCAAGAAATCTAATTAATCAATTCTAGTGATACTGGCCTTAAAATATAGTATTAAATTTATTGGGTGAGTGCACACACGTATAATGCAAGAATTGGTGATGCAAGGCTATAGCATATATATTTGTGTTCCATAAGACCTGAGAAGACATGCTTGACTTGGTATGGTTTCTCTCTCTATAATGAAGAAATTTTCTTGCATTTCCTAAGCAAGAGTATGCAGTCTGGGGTCATGATTGTGGCCATATGGTTCCGTTTCAACATGCTTTGACATGAAAAATGAAAAGTGTAACAATTCCAATGCAAAATTTCCTTTAAATAGCCAGCTTGTATCATACATGGGTATGTGAGCAAGAACAGCCATATAGGGCAGGAAGGACAATAAAACCTGCAAAAAATATAATTCACACCTAACCTAACACACTAGCTTGTCCTCTCCATGATCCATCATATGCCAATACCAAGGTTCATTCATATTCGTACGAAAATGATAGAACTATAAGAGAGGTATATATAAAGCTTTTCAGCAATGTTAATAATGGGAGACAAACTAACTTTCACGTGAAATTATATAAACATGGCGCATCATTGATTTTGATTAGAAAACGAAACAAGAAAAAATTCCAAAAAAGTTAGATGGGTGTGTTTGTAGCGTGAACGTCCAATAATTAGTTGTTAATGAAAGTGGTGGGGTTGGAAAAATGTAGGCATACTGAACTAATTTTGGAGGAAAGTAGAATGATTAGAAATCACTATGTAAGTGTGTGTTTTGTCGCATGATTTAATTAAAGTTATCAAAGTTTTCGGAATTTAATTTTAAAAGCAAGTCACAGAATATTCGAAAATTATTATTTTTTGTATGAAAATTGATAAAGCAGAATCATAAGCCTGCAGAATAAACTATCGAAATGTGTTGCCCGAGTTATACTCAAAATATCTTGAATAGTGTATGATATTCCTTTATCGAAAACTAAGGGTATAAAATTACTGGACTGGCCCTATCGGAACAATTAGACTAATATACACGCCATGTTAAGTTCAAATCTTGGTAACATTATTCTAATTCATACGATAATTTTTTGTTTTAAAAAGTATTAGGAAAATAATAATAATAATAATGTTTTAGCCTAATAATTTACTTGGTAAAAGTTTCTCTTCTGAATATTTATGAGTTAATGTAAAATGAGTGTTATTGAAACATATCAGAAATTACAAATTTTATAAGTGTTACATCTTATTTAATGAGTGTGTTTCATGATTTAGTAGTCAGATCTAAAAAAATATATAATTTTTAACTAATAATAAAAGAATATTAACAAATGAGTATTAGAAAGAATGTCGTTAGTATTTTTAAGTTGGAATAAGTCTGATAATTTAACAAA